AGTTTCTGCACCAGATACAACACTTGTCAAAAGGCAACCAATAGTTAATACTTCAAACAGATGCAAAAGTCTCATCTCCAAAATACCTGTTCTAGGAATTCACACAGCCTATCTACAACAAGCCACCTTCAACCCCAAAAGAGTTCTAGGAATCATTCACCTCCTCTCTTGTACTGAAGATGAAAAACAGAAAGCATCGAATGAAAAAGACACATAAAACTATATTCACAGAGTACATGATGCCATATATAAAAGGCCTATGAACTTTTTAATTTTTAATGAACAAAACATTAAAAAACCCACTGAAAGTAAATGACATCAGCAAGATTCCAGGATACAAGATCAACATACAAAATCAGCTATTTTTTTATATGCTGGTATCAAGCAATTAAATAATGAAAATTTTATAGCAATTCTATTTATAATAATAGCATCAAACGTGTAAAAAAGCAAAACAAAAACTTCAAAGTATGAGAACACATTTGTAATCCCAGCACTAAGGAACAGAGGCAGAAGAATAAGAAGTTAAAGGCATCATCCCTACATAGTACAAAGCCAGGCTGGGACACTTATGACCCTGACTCAAATAAATAAAAAAATAATCTTTAATATAAATGTGACCAAAAGGGCAAATTCCATGTACTAAAAATTACTAATAACACCGAAAAAAATAATTCTAAATAAATGATAAGCTAGTGAGCAACTGTTGAGACTGCAATTCTCCCAGAGAGTTTTGCAAGTTTGTTTTTCATGATTTTTTTCAAAAGCCATCACAGCAGTGCTTTGGGGAAATGCAAGATGCTACTGTAAGGCATATGTAGATTTAAGAAAACTGCTATGGTGAGTGTCACTGAAAACAAGTGTTGGTGAGGATGTGAAAGAAGCAAGACCCTCACACACTGCTGCTGGGAAAGTAAATGGGCACATGATTAAATTTACTACACATCCATGCAAAACATCCACACAACTATTATTCTTAATAACTAAAACAAACTCAACCTAAATGTCCATCATCTGAAAATCCAAACATGGCACATACAATGTACTAGTCAGTAATAAACAGGACCAAACTACTAATGCATGCTACTACATGGGTGAATCTCAAAATCATTATGTCAAGGGAAAGAAGCCAGACACAGTACCCATTTCATATTATATGAATGTGAAAAATGTCAAGAAAAGGTTACTCTCTGGAAATAAGAAAACAAACCAATGGCTATCTGAGTGGAGCCAGAATTGGCTACAGATTAGTGTCTAAAACCATTAAACTGATGCAAATAATTCTGAATCTGAATTGTGGTCAGCACTAAACAATTCCAAATATCACTTCATACTTAGAAACAGTGTATATATCTTCTTCGATGCCAACTTCCTAAAGTCAGATGTGGTGGTACCTGCCTGAAGTCCTAGCTCTACCAAGACACAGGCATGACTGGTGAGTATAAAGCCAGCCTGGGATACACAGGAAGACTTTGTCTCAAGAAACGGATGACTTGCAAGTGTTTCTTGTAACAACAGAAAAGGCTCAGAAAGGCATGGTCAAGGCCCATTACAGACTCTCCAAGCTAAGGGACAGGGAGGACTTGCGTTCCAAAAGGAGGGGGCGATTTAAAAGCTGGGGCCTAACTGAGCAGTGGTAGCACCTGCCTTTAATCCCAGCATTTGGGAGGCAGGGGAAGGTGAATTTGAGTTTGAGGTCAGCCTGGTCTACAAGTAAATTCCAGGATGGCCAGGGCTACACATAGAAATCCTGTCTTGAAAAACGAAAAAGAGCTAGAGCCTAATCAGAGGAATTTATATATTTAGTTACTATAGAATTAAAGAGAGATTCGAGCTCCTAAATCTATCTTGTTTCCTGTCTCACAATGTTACCCTTCCTCTTGCACATGTTCCTGACAGAATACCATTCACCACGTTGTGATATATGTAGCCTGGAGACCCTCACCAGAGCCATGCAGATACTATTCTTATTTGTTTGTTTGTTTTTGTTTTTCAAGACATGGTTTCTCTGTGTAACGACTCTGGCTGTCCTGGAACTCACTTTGTAGACTAGGCTGGCCTCAAACTCTGAGATCCATCTGCCTCTGCCTCCCAAGTGCTGGGATTAAAAGTGTGCACCACCATGCTCAACTAATAAACTATTCTTTAAAGTAACCCACCTCAGGCATTTTGTTATAGCAACAGAAATCTAATACATTTTGTAGCACAAATTTCTAAAGGTCTTATAATAAAAACCTGGAGCCAGAATATTGGGGCAAATGCTGAAAGATCAGGGAGACAAAGGAACAAGTCACAGCTCATCTCTAACTTCTGAGTGCTAGGATTAAAGGTATGTGCTACCACTGCCTGGCCTCTATGCTTAATCTAGTAGCTTGTTCTGTCCTCTGATCTTCAGGCAAATTTTATTAGGGTACACAATATATCACCACAACATTCCTACAGTACAGTTCCTAATGGAGAAATTATTTCAGTATAACTAAAAGAATCAAGAAATGCCTAACAGAGAAACCCAGATAATTCTGCAAAGTCTTTTTCCAACTAAGTCTAAATAATAATAATAATAATAATACTTTTTGACATTTAGCAAAAAATAAAACACTCAAGCCAGGTGTAGTGGTGCATGCCTTTAATCTCAGCACTTGGGAGGCTGCTGTTCGAATCTTAGGTGGTCTTTTAATTAAAAAAAAAAAAAAAACCCAGAGCCAGATATCAGGGTAAAAGCTGAAAGATCAGAGAAGCAGAACAGCCAGCCACTAGTTCTTTCCTCTATGAAATCCTCAGCCTAAAGACAGTGAGTTCCTGTTTCCTCACGCCTTATATGCCTTCCTCTGCCCTGCCATATTACTTCCTGGGATTGAAGGTGTGTGTGTTTCCCAAGCAAAAGCATGAGATCTCAAGTGCTGGGATTAAAGGTGTGTGCCACCACTGCCTGGCTCTGTTTCTCTCCTAGAGGGGATCAATCCCATGTAGCCCAAGGTGGCCTTGAACTCACAGAGATCCAGATGGATCTCTGCCTCCCAAGTGATAGGATTAAAGGTGTGTGCCACCACTGCCTGACCTCTATGTCTAATCTAGTAGCTGGCTCTATCCTCTGATCCTCAGGCAAGTTTATTAGGGTACACAATATATCACCACAGGAGGCAGAGGCAGGCAGATCTCTGTGAGTTCAAGGCCAGTCTGATCGACATCGTGAGTTCCAGGGCAGCCCTCTGGCTACACAGTGATACCATGGGGGAGGAGGACACCAACACCACACTCAAGTACTGTGTTGTTATTGGAACCTTCATATTCTCTTTTCTAACAATATTAGATTTTTAGTAAATCATTGAAAATTAAATTATGTCTATAAGAATTCTTTCATATTAAAAAGTTAGCTAATCAGAAACCATAAACAGGAACAGAGAATATGCATATTGTAAACTACACTAAGATTTTCAAGGAGCATTTTAGACTGAATTCTGGTCTGAACAGAGGCTCTACCACTCCTATTGTGGTTCTATCACTCATGTGAGATTCCTTCGGGCCTCTCTGTGGCCTAGACAGCCCATCCAACTTCCTAATGGCCTGGCCGGCCTCCCTGAATTGGCTTTATAAATACAAAATTTGTGTAATTCTTGCTGGAACTATTTGCTGAAATATGGAAGCAGTTAAGAACCCCATTCATTTAAAATGTTCACACAGCTTCACATGGGCAGCAACAAACCCACCATGGCCACCCAAACAAAATAACACTTTTTGTTGTTGTTGAGAACAGGGCTTGGGAGCTAGTTCAGTTGGTAATATGCTTGCCACACAAGCAGGAGAACATGAGTTCTATCTCCAAAATACATGCTTGCTGTTTTGAAAACATATGCTTGCTGTTTTGAAAATACATGCTTGTTGTTTTGTTTTTTGTTTGTTTGTTTGCTTGGTTTGGTTTTTTGGTGTTTTGGTTTGGTTTGGTTTATTGTTTTAGGGGAGGGTAGTTAAGGTTTTCAATGTGTAGCCCACACTTGTGATCTCAGCACTGGCGAGGCAGAGAAAGGCAGAACCCTAGGACTTGCCAAGTCGGGTGAACTTTGGACCACATGTGGAGGGGGCAGGGGACGAGGGGTAAGGGGGGATGAAAAGTGGGGGAGAAAAGGTGGCCCACGGCTCAAAACACCTCTGGCCTCCACACACACAGCAGCCTGTTCTTCATTTGTGAGCTAATATGACGTGAATTCTGCCATTTGGAATCACCCTCAAGGTGAGGACCATCCACAAATAGGAAACGTATGTCAATTAAGTCCACTTAGACTCATTCAATGAGGTACAGAATTTTTTGAATCATCTCAGATTTGAGCAGAAGTCCAGGCACAAAGAGGTTCTTGCTGGAACATTCCTTAGCCTGTCCGAAGATTCTGAACACTCACTCCAAGCCCAACCACCTAAAAACTACAAAAGAGTCAGCACACTGCGCCCCTAAACCCTCTTAGGCTTTGAATGTCTTGAGTCTGTCACCCAAGCAGCTGTGGGAAGGCGTCCATAGAGACCCTGGGCCAGACTGCTCTAATGGGTACCGAGCAGTAAGCTTCACCTTCGTTACAGTCCTTTCAAAAGCACCTGTGGCTGCGCTGAAGCTCCAGAGATAACGGGGAGGACACCTCCAGCTTCTCGGTGCCAGTTGCACCAAGATTCAGTTTAGGCCTTAGGCCCCGCCCCTCACTATCGACTCCGCCCCTCTCCGGCTCCTCTAACCTCTGGACATCCGCCCCTCGAAGTCGACCCCACGCCCTCAGGGTCAGTTTCAGTATGGTCACGCCCATCGCAGTCTGTCTGCCTTGGCCAAGCTGGATTCAACTCCCGCTTAGCCACGCCCCGCAAGTCGGCTCCACCTCCCACCGGACTCTGGTCCCGCCTCCTACCCTGTTCCGGCCCCGCCTCCCACAAAGCCACGCCTCCGATCAGGCTGTGGCCACGCCCCTTTCCCGGCCCCGCCTCCTTTCCGCCGCCCGCGCCAGCCCACTGTGGCTTCTCACCTTCCCGCCTCAGACCCCGCGCCCCGCGGGAGCGCGGCTCGCCCACGTCGAGGCTCGGCGCACGTTCTCGCGAGCCTTCTCTGTCCCAGCGGGAAATGGCGGCCTCCACGGGTGGTCCTCGCCCTGAACTGCCTCAGCAGATTGGGCCGCGGCGGAAAAGAAGCCACCGCCCGACTTCTGCGGCTTGAAAACCTGGCGTGGCCTCACGGTGGCTTTCTTGATTTGACGTGTTTGGAATTTTCCCGCGGTCGTTCGGGAGTGGGGCTACGTGCGCGCACGCCCCCGCAGTGCACCCTGGGATCGAACGCGCTCCCGCGGCATGACGTAAAAATCCGCCATGTCTCGGGGCGGAAGTAGGCGGGCGCGCGCCGTCCCTTCCCTACTGCGCCGGGCAAGTTTCTCCCTAGGAAGGGAGAGAACCGTGGAAAGTGTTGGGAGAAAGGAGTTTCCAAGATGGGTCAAAACCCTACATAGGGCGCAGCCTGCGACTTCCTAGTCGTGGGACCAACAACAAAGAGTTTTTTCTTTGGTTAGCGATTGCCCCAATCCCGTCAGGCACATGCACTGCTTAGTTCGGGTTCAGATCGGTTCGAAGCTGCATTTAAAAAGACATGCAGTGGAAACTTCCATTCGTGTCTGATGACAACTGTGTTATCTTTTATTCTTGAATTTTTAACATTATGATGCCGGGCGGTGGTGGTGCACGCCTTTAATCCCAGCACTCGGGAGGCAGAGGCAGGCGGATCTGTGTGAGTTCGAGGCCAGCCTGGGCTACAGAGTAAGTCCCAGGAAAGGCGCAAAGCTACCCAGAGAAACCCTGTCTCGAAAAACCAAGAAGAAAGAAAAGGAAACATTATGACAATTTGGGGGAGTCAGTTTTCACTAATGCGGGTCCCGAGTCGTCAGGCTTAGTGGCAGGTGCTTTTACCGCCAAGCCATTTTACTGGCCCTTTTTTAAAAAACTTATTTTCGAATTTAGAACTGAATGAAGGTATTTCAAAGTTGTTTGAATTGGAGACGAAGAGTGAATAACCTTAAACTTATAGTTAAATCAGTGCCTCAGAACCATCAGTCATAATCATAAGAACACAACTTGAGTGTGCTTTGAAAATAAAAAAACCTGAAGTAATGGATGCATGTAATAAATAGCTCTTATTTAAAAACTCAGATATTATGAAGACATAGCCATCTCACCAGTGAACAAATCTAGTTCATAAAGCAAGTGCTACTAAGGTTATAAAACTTATAAATTACATAATGGGTATGTTGAGTAGTAGTCACAAGTTTTTAAAATTAAGGGAGAGGGGCTGGAGATTGCTCAGCGGTTAAGAGCATTGGCTGCTCTTCCAGAGGACCTGAGTTTGAGTCACAGCAACCACATGGCAGCCCACAGCCATTGGTAACCCCTGTCCAAAGGATCCGATGCCTACCTTATGGCCTCCCTGGGCACCACACTGCACAGATATACATAAGGCAAATAACACACACACATATAAAATAACAGTTTAAAAAAATGTAAAGGGAGACACCAGAGGAACCTGATCTAAAATTAACAGGTTCTGTTTTGTGGAATCAAGTGGTTAGCTATTTTTTGTACTTCCCTGGGGCTTATGCTTTTTTGATGTGTCATTTTAGTCTAATCTAAAGAACAGCTTGTGTAGTAAGACTAGTATAAGTGACACCTTGGCCTTGAAAAAGTCTCACAATGACAAATTGTAAATTTTGTGTGTTAGTCTTTGTATTTACCAGCAAAAAACAATGTGAAGCCAGGTTTGTTTCTTGTTTTTTAGAGCAAAATAACTGTTTTGGCACTCAGATTTGTTTTATATGCTCGGGGAAAAAAAATGGCAGTTTTGACATACTGTGATTTTCTGTCAGTTTAGTAGTTAATAAAGAATTACTGGGCATAGCCAGGTAGTGATGGCTCACACCTTTAATCCCAGAACTCAGGAAGCAGAGACAGATGGATCTCTGAGTTCAAAACCAACCTGGTCTACAAAGTGAGTTCCAGGACAGCCAACACTACACAGAAAAACTCTGTCTCAGAAAAATAATAATAATGGGCTATGTAACTTCAGCATGTAAAGTGACACTGTGTTTAGACCTAATTTACACTACTAAGTGGGAAGCATATACTGTACAAAGATGTAAATTTTAATTCACGGCTTTTCATAGGTGTTCATTCTGTGCAGCATCCATATGTATAGAGCTGTTCTCACTGATTATTTTTAGCAGTAGTGAGAAGGCCACCTTGTGGTATGTCCAATGTGTTTTCTGAAAACAAACGCTTCAGTACAAATATTTTGAATTAGCAAAAACTGAATATGGGTTTTTGAAAATAGTTTTGGTTGTGGTGTAAGAGAGCAACACAAATACTGTGCCAAAATGAAAATGACAAATTTAGATGAAATGTGTTACAACTTCTAAGGTTTTCCATTCGAGAGAGAAAATGGAAAAACCAGCAGCTGAAGGCTGCAAAATTGCTGCCTTAATCAAACTTTCCTTCAAATTTCAACTAATGTATAGAAATACCTGTCTTGGATTCCACATTGTGAACATAATTGAAGTAAGTGTCCTTGCACAGTGAGTTAAGATACACACCTAGCTCCCAGACAAGATTGGGCACCTGCATACTTGCTCCTGGCTTTGATAGTTTATGCCTTTGGTGTGTCAAGAATATCTCGTGTATTTACTAGTTTTGCCTTCGGTACTTCAAATGTATCTTCTGTGCTTAAGTCCCGATGCTGGGTAGATTACTTCCCTTGCATTCATTCCTTTAAGCCTCACATTGACCATACATGGTAGGTAGTATTTCTGTTTCACAGCGAACCAGATTCACAGAGCTGTGTTTCCTAGCAGGTGTCAGAATCAAGCTTCAAAACCAGGTCAATTGTCTTTTTACTGTTGGTTGTGTGCCTGCTCGCCCCTAAGTTAGCCAAGAAGAAAATGGGAGCTGGAAACATGTGACCCAAGAGGTTTTTATACACTACACTAACCACATTATTCCAACTAAAATATTTTGGCTGAGGAAATATACACTAAATTAGAGAAGAAAACTATATGAACAGCACATGTCAAAGAAAAGCTTCAAGAGATGCATGCAGCAGGTAATGAAGGTTTGATCACTGTCCAGAGAGGAAAAGAACCCTGATATTAAGGAAGAAGGGGCTACAGGAATAAAAGTTTATGGGAAAGAGGAGTCCTTTCTCTGCAGATACACCTACATACCACTCCCTGGCCTCTGTTGAAAGAATATACTTAGGAAGATGTTCCACATGCACAGTCTTCTATCTGTTGTGGTCTCAAGTCTTAACTTTGTGATGGGACAAAGGCATGGCCAGCAGACACTGTAATTTGAAGGTGAAAGCCCCAAGGGAACCTATTTTGAATTTTTATCTGTTCCAGGCTAGTGACATTCAGTAGTCCTCTCGTGGCACCAGAAACTGCTGCCACAGTTACTGGGAATTTGTAGGTAGAGTTTTCCTGCCTGGCCCACAGTCAGGACAAATCTCTCTCACCTGCCAGTCCCACAGCCGTCAGACCCAACCAAGTAAACACAGAAACTTATATTGGTTACAAACTGTATGGCCGTGGCAGGCTTCTTGCTAACTGTACTTACAGCTTAAATTAATCCATTTCCATTAATCTATACTTTGCCACATGGCTCAAGGCTTACCGGCATCTTCACATGCTGTTTCTCATCATGGCGGCTGGCAGTGTCTCCCCCACCCAGCTTCCTGTTCTCTCAATTCTCCTCTCTGTTAGTCCCGCCTATACTTCCTGCCTGGCCACTGACCAATCAGTGATTTATTCATTGACCAATCAGCAACACATTTGACATACAGACCATCTCACAGCAGGGAACCACATAGTCACAAGGGGAAACCACTGATGTTATCTGGGGTGCTGTATTGCTGAGCTACAGTGTTGAGTAGGTCAGGTATATTACACCTTTTGATCTGTGATCTTTGATGTTTACAGTGGGTTATATCAGAAAGGAATATTATCGTAAGTGGAGGAAAGTCTGTGCTACTAGGAGAACACCATCCCAAGTGCTGGAGAGTCTGTACCATACACACACTTGCCACAGCTAAATGAATAGTGTAGACAGCTGACCCTAGCTGGCCCAATAGAACCACTCCTGCAGAACCTGGAATCCCTCAGTCCCTATGCATACCCAAGTCAGAGAGCAAGGTGAAACGATGTAAGTAGCAAAGAAAGCTGACTGACAGAAAAGACAGGAAGTTGAAAGGCTAAAGACACAGTAGCTTTCATCCGCAACTTTCTAATTTTAAGGCCAATTTTTATTATTTATTTATTTATTTATTTATTTATTTATTTTAGGGGGCAGGGTCTCATTCTGTAGCTCTGGCTGTCCTGGAACTCACTCTATTATACCAGGCTGTCCTCAGACTCACAGAGATCCACCTGCCTTTGCCTCCCGAGTGCAATTAAAGGTAAGCAACACCACACCAGGCTTTTTTTTTTTTTAAATATTTTATGTGCATTGGTGTTTTGCCTGTATGTATGTCTCTATGAAAGTGTTAGGTCCCCTGAAACTGGAGTTATAGATAGTTGTGAGCTGTCACGTGGGTGCTAGAAATTGAACCTGGCTCCTCTGAAAGAGCAGCCAGTGCTCTTGACCACTGACCCATCTCTCCAAGCCCCAAGCCCAGCCTTTTAAGACCACTTTTGTGTGGTGGTATTTTGTGTATGCTCTAACAAATAAAGCTTGCCTGGAGATCAGAGGGCAAAGCCAGCCACTAGTTAGCCATAGAGGCCAGGCCAGTGGTTGTAGCAGGAATCTTAGAAGGTCTTATTAATAAAATCAAACCCGGGGCTGGTTATTGGAGTGAAATGCTGGATGATCAGAGAGACAGAACAAGCCACAGCTAACCTCACCTGGCCAACTTCTCAGCTGATCTTGTTTCCTCAGACTGGAAGCCTCTGAGTCCTCATACCCGAATGGCTCTCAGCTGAACTGTGCTGCTAAAAGCCTGAAAGCTTAACCAGCCAAATGCTTCTAGTTTCTAGCCCTTGTGCCTTATGTATCTTTCTGCTTTCTACCGTCACTCCCTAGGATTAAAGGCTCACTTTCTGGGATTAAAGGCGTGAGTCACCATGCTTGGCTGTATCCTTGAACACATGGATTTCTGCCTCTGGAATGCTAGGATTAAAGGCGTGTGCTACCACTGCCTATCCTCTATGTTTAATATTGTGGCTGTTCTGTCTCTGACCCCAGATAAGTTTATTAGGATGCACAATATTT